AGTGGCTGGTGGGTTTGAACCACCAGCCTTCTGGTGAGCAGTCAAGTGCCTTAGGCACTATGCTACCAGAGCTCCTTTAAAGATTACAGCCTAGGAAACCCTCTGGGGCAATTCTCCCCTGTCCTGTTACGTCACTATGAGTCAGAATTAACTCAACAGCATACAACAGTGATTTATCCCCAGAAAAATAATTTTAGATAAATTTTAAATAATTTTAGATAAGTTTTAAATAATTTATACCTGATTCTTGGGAAGTTACAAGAAGATAGAAATCATGGCTTTTGCTCTCCAGAGGATATAAAACAAACATAGATAAATACAAAATCCAAAGTGATAAAGTTTGATATAATTATATCCCACTGAGGGTATAAATCAACTGTACTTATAAGACCAAGTACTTGTGAAGCTTTGGGAAGTAGGAACCTTGATTCATTGTTTGTGGCATTCATTTATTCATGTATGCATGAAGCATTCACTCAACTAACATTTATTGAAAGCTTTCATTTTTACTACCTACAGTGCTGGGAATTGGGGATATAGTCTATAATAGCATACTTTCAGCAGACCTGGTAGCACAATGGTTAAAGCACTCACCTGCCAATCAAAAGGTTGGCAGTTTAAACCCACCAGCCATTCCGTGGGAGAAAGATGTATCAGTCTGCTTCCATAAAGATTTATTGCATTGGAAACCCTATGGGACACTTCTACTCTGTTCTATTGGTTTGGTATCAGCTTAACAATGGTGGGTGGATATCATCCTTTCTCCCAAAACTGTTCTCTTCCATCTAGTTCTAAAGTTCCAATAAACTGGTGACTCATCCTTGATTCTTAATTTCTTCCTTCCCATATCCAGTTACTCGTCAAAAAAAAAAATTACTCCTCAGGAAAGTCAGATCCACCTTCTAACTGTTCCATTACACTACTCATTCCTTTCTCTATAGCCACTGACAGCGTTCTAGTTGAGATACACATACCTTTTGCCATGGTGTGCCTTCTTCCTGTCCTCCATGCCTCCAATCTTGCTTGTTCCCACCTGATCATGCTCCAAACTATTTCTAAACTCAGAATACAAACAACTCAATCTTCTACAAAATCTGTTGAACAAGCAATTTTGTAAGAAGAGTTATATAAATATTCCTAAACTTTATTTTATTTATTTTTAACCATTAAAAAATTACTTTTTAATTTAAAAACTGCCAAGAATAATATTTCTAGGACCTTAGGAGCTCTGGTAGCATAGTGCCTAAGGCACTTGACTGCTCACCATAAGGCTGGCGGTTCAAACCCACCAGC